CTAAAATTTAATGTGACATATTAAGAAAAAATCCAAAAATATAATAATAAAAATTAAGATGGACTTAGGAGCAAATGAAATGTAGCTAAATAAAAAAAGTTTTAAATGGAAGACAAGCAAACACCCTCCAGAATGCAGCACACAGAAATAAAAGGGAGGAATTGTAAAAGAATGGATAAGAGGCATAAGTGGTATCAGTGACAAGTTCTAGTCCAGAAAAGATGAAGGGAACGGGACAGATATAAAATTGGAAGAAATAACAGCTCTGAATTTTTCAAAACTAAAAATGATATCAAAGTGATATCAATTCATAACTTTAAGAGTCTCCATGTATCCTAAGCAAAACAATTTATAAGAAACTCATATCCAGACATTGTAGTGAAACTTCTGACAACAATAGACTGAGACAAAAATCTTAAAAGCAGCAGAAAAAAAGCAAATTACTTTCAAAAGAACAGTTAGACTGAGAACTGACTTCTCAATAGTAACAAAGGAAGCCAGCGAGCAATGGAAGGTTTTTCAATTAACGCTGAAGTTTGATATGGCAAAAAAACATGTTGTTACTTGTAGTTAAATTACTTTTAAAAATTGAAAAATTACACCTGTGAAGCTAGTACAGACAAAAATTGGAATGATTAAAAAATCCAAATAAGAACAATTGGGATAAGTAGCACAAAATAATATTATAAACTTAACTCAACTATATGAGCATTTACATTGAATATAAAGGATCAAAAACTCAATTTGAATGCAAAATGCACAAATTGTATTGAAAACAAAAGAAAACCAAATTATGTACCAATTTAAAAAAACTTATCTAAAATATAAGTACATAGAAAATTTGAGTAAAAAGAATCTTTTAAACACCAACCCAAAGAAATCAGCTATAGCTATACTAATATATTCTACACAAAACAATAAATATAGTATAATAAACTCTATAAATACATCTCTACATAATGATAAAATGTCCTATTTATGATGAGGAAATAATTTAAAATTTGCACACATATAATAACAAGGTCTCAAAAATGTAAGAAGAAAACAGTGATATAATTAAATGAAAAATAGACAAATCCACAATTGCTGTGAGACATTTTTAGTATGACTCAGTAACTTACAGAATAATAAAACACAAAAGGAGGAACATACAAGACTCAAATAACATGATTAACAAAATTGACCTAATAGATACAGCTACGGAAAACTTATTCTTTTCAAGTGTGCACATTCACAAAATTCTCAGTAGAATATGTTTTCTAGTCCAATGAAGTTATGCTAGATATTAACAAAAATTAATTTGGAAATGAAGAAATACACTTCTAAATAACTAGTGGGGAAAAGAAGAAATCACATGGACAATAGAAATAATTTGAACTAAATGGTGATAAAAATACAACAAATTAAAGCTTAAAATTAAAACAGAGATTATCAACAAAGCTAAAAGTTAGTCCTTGGACAAGTTGATAGAAGAGATATAGCCTCGGCAGAATTGATCCAGAAAAGGAGAAAGAAGGCCCATTAATCAATATCAAGAATGAAAACAAGGATATTGCTACAGATTCTACAGATATTAAAAAGAGGAAAAGAAGATACTATGAGCAAGTTTATATCAACAAGCTTGAACATTTAGATGGAATGAAGAAATTCTTAGGCAAATTAACTTATTCAAGAAATGGAGACTGAATAGGCCCCTAAAATCGACTCAACGATTAAAATCCTCTCCACAAACAGAACTCTAAATCCCCCAGATGGTTTCAATGATAAGTTCTACCAACTTTAAGGAAGAAATTATTACAGGTTTAAAAATTTTTTAAATGGAGTGAAGTCCTAAAATCACTTTGTAAGACTAGCACATAATCTTGATAAGAAATGCTAAGAAATGCAATAAGAAAAGGAAAAGCTATCAGCCATTTTCATTCATGAATATAGATGCAAAAGTCTTAAATAAAATACAAGCAAGCATTATGACAAGTTATATTTTCCTAGAAATATAAGGTACAATACTACCAAATTGTATTCATTGATTCATAATAAAAATTTGTAAAAAAAAAAAAAAATGCAGTAAAAAAAGAAATCCTTATAACATTCTTAAATAGTTGAAAGTGTTTCCTCTATGATCAGGAAGAGGGCAAAGATACTCTCTTTTCAGCATTATGCTTTTTAACATAACTTGCTGGTATAGCAAAGCAAGAAAGAAAATAAAGGATTAGATAAGTGTCCATCAACAAACGAGTGGATAAAGAAAATGTGGTATATATATATACCATGGAATACTACTCAGCAATAACAAGGAATGAAATAATGTCTTTTGCAGCAACATGGGTGGAGTTGGAGGCTATTATTCTAAGTGAACTAACTCAGGAATGGAAAACCAAGATGGTATGTTATTTATTTATTTATTTTGAGATGGATTTTCGCTCTTGTTACCCAGGCTGGAGTGCAATGGTGCAATCTTGGCTCACCGCAACCTCCGCCTCCTGGGTTCAGACAATTCTCCTGCCTCAGCCTCCTGAGTAGCTGGGATTACAGGCACGTGCCACCACGCCCAGCTAATTTTTTGTATTTTTAGTAGAGACGGGGTTTCACCATGTTGACCAGGATGGTCTCGATCTGTTGAGCTCATGATCCACCCGCCTCGGCCTCCGAAAGTGCTGGAATTACATGTATGTTCTTATCTCTAAGTGAGAGCTAAGCTATAAGAAAGCAAAGGCATAAGAATGATACAATAGACTTTGAGGCCTTGGAGGGGAAGGTTCAGAGAGGGGTGAGGGATAAAAACCTACATATTAGATACAGTGTACACTGCTCGGGTGAGAGGTGCACTAAGAGCTCAGAAATCCCTGCTAAAGAACTTAGCCAAATAAGCAAAAACCACCTGTACTCCAAAAACTAGTGAAATAAAAAACAAATTAAAAAAGAAAGCATTGGAAAAATAGAAGAAAACCCGTTATTATTTACAGAATATATGGTTGCAGAAAACTCAAAATAATATACATTTATTCTAATTCATAACTGAATATACAAATTTGCTGGCTAAATTTCAATACCAAAAAGTCAATATCTTTGACAACAGATTAAATATTTTAAAGGCTTGATTTTAAATATTACCAAAATATTATGCACTCAGAAATACATCTAAATAAAAGCTATCTGATGCCTTTTCTGGTAGAACTATAAAGATTTATCAAGAGACATTTAGGAAGACCTAGTGACAGGAGAGGTATCTTATGAACATATATTGGAAATTGAAAATATAATTATCCAAATTATACTTCTTTCAAAATTTATATATAGATTCAATGGAATCTCAATGAAAATCTCAACAGATTGGTTAATGGAACTGGATAAACGATTTAAAAATTTTATTTTTAAATATAAGGCTAAAAATAGCCAAGATTTTCTTAAAGATGCATAACAAAGTCAGGGCACTCATTCTATCTGATATCCGATGAGTATGGCATTGGCATAAGGCTAGACAAACAGACTGAAGGCAGTACAGCGGGAATAAAGAAATAGACACACATATTTGGACACTTGAATTTGGATAAAAGAGGCAATGTGGGGAAGGAGGGAAAGGATAGTCATTTCAAGAGAAGGAAGTGGGACAAACAGATATTCAATGGAAAGAAAGAATAAAATTTTACCTCTTCCTCACAACATAATTATTATAGATGAATTATAGACCTAAATGTGAAAGGCAAGACATAATTTCCAGATGATAAGATAGGGGATTGTCCTCATGATTTTGCCTTAGTAGAAACGTTATAAACCTATACCCAAAGGCCTGTGCTGATACTGACATGACTTTAAGACAGTGGGAATTTGTTCAGTCTCATCCAACCATCTTTAATAAGTCATCACCATGTGGCTACTCTTTAAGGAGAAACCAGAACCAGTAAGACCAAAGGAGAATCCTGACACCTAGTGAGGTGAAGGAGGAGGTATCTAGTACCTTTATTTGTGGGCAGAACTGGACTTCTGTGTCCTCAAAATCTAAGGACCAAAAACATCAACTTCACAATAAGGAACCTGAGCACTGGTAGAAGGGAGACTATGGTTACTTCTTTTCATGGATTCTTAATTCTATCTGCCAGTTGCTTTTTTGCTTGTGCATTCATTGAGGGTGTACAGAATGGAATTACAGAGGCAGAAGAAAATGAGGTCTCTGCCAAATTGATAGTCTAAAAAACATTTTAGTGGCCTGCCTAACTGTAATTTGTTTTAGCTTTAAACAAGAAAAGCCTCATTATGTAAACAAACAGACTGGACTGAAATAGATATGGAATGCAAAGCACATAGGAGAGACATGGGCTCCTGAAGGGAGATTAGAAGTTGGACTACTTTTCATGCAATGAACAAGGTTGCATTGGTAAGATATAAGAGCATCATAAAATACTCCTTTCCCTTTCTTCTTTCCCCATCTCCCATCCCTAAAACTTCCCTGACCTTTTTCCTGATGACTGAAATTCCACCTTGGAGGAGTCTCTTTAGCTGCAGGTTTGATTCCTATTATAAATGCGAAGAAATGCCACATCATTACCTGCATTTTGATATAAATAACTTAATATGGAAAATAAGTTCTGATGGGAAGGAAGCATGAAGCACTAACAGGAGTGAAGGGATGGTTTCCATGGGGCAAAAAGACAGGAAAGCAAGAAGCAGGACTTGAAGGACAGATGCTTCAAGAAAAAGCGGGGCAGAAACAGCTTGGCTTGGAATTAGGCGGACAGATGTGGGTCAGGATTGTGGGTGTCTTGGGCTAGTAACCAGTCAGAGGCTCATTTTTCTCAGCTGTAAAATGGGCATATACTACCTGCCTTTGCTTAAGGACTAAATAATAATAATTATGTTACAGCACTTGATGGAATGTTAGGCGCAGAATAGGACTTAATTAAGCATTAGCTTCTATATAGCCCAGTTGTTTTCCTTTTTTAACCAAGACTCTTTTGGAGTCAATTCCTTTGCAATATCTTACAATATCTGTGCATTTAAATGCTTTCATTTATCTATGGCCTTTGGATGATTTAGGAAAGCAATTTTTGTTTGTTGAGACGGAGTCTTGCTGTATTGCCAGGCTGGAATGTAGTGGCATGATCTCGGCTCACTGCAACCTCTGCCCTCTGGGTTCAAGTGATTCTTCTGCTTCAGCCTCCCAAGTAGCTGGGATTACAGGCACACCCCACCACACCCAGCTAATTTTTGTATTTGTAGTAGACAGGGGTTTCACCATATTGGGCAGGCTGGTCACGATCTCTTGACCTCATGATCTGCTCACCTCGGCCTCCCAATGTGCTGAAATTACAGGCAGAAAACATTCTTTAGAAAAAAGCCAAGTGAGTTTATCTGGTATTTCCTGTCTCATAATTTTTTTTGGTACTATCTTTTGGAGGAGCTCTCAGGAATCTGAAGAAAGTAAAAATATCCTTTTACATTTTTTTCTTACTTCGACTTGATAATGTTTCTTATCTCTTTTCCTGATGAAATATATGGAAATATTGGTAAAAGTACATCATGGTCTGAAATAATGTGAATGGTCTGGAGATGACTCAAGGACAAGGATCTTGAGACAGAAGTCTACATTCCCTAAAAGTAATGACACCGTGTCTTTGAACAAGGCCAAGAGAGAATCTAATTTATTGAAAAGGAACATACCTATTTCTTTCTTTTGAACAGTGGCTTTTAAATATTTTTTCCCCTACCACAACTTACAGTAAGAAATACCTTTTACATTATGACCTGATACACACACATGCATGGTGTATACGTGTCTAAAATAATAGTTTCACGGAATGAAGCTTACCCTTATTCTATTTGATGTGCTCTGAAATGTTCCATTCTACTCTATTTAACTTTTTAAAATGCTGTTTGAGACCATTATATTGATTTTATGTTCCACACTTCAAAGATCACTGCTTTAGGGTTTTACTTATGCTTTTCTGAATGGCAAGCCTTCTTAAGATGGTCTTAAAAGCACTTAATTTGGTCCTGTTTTCTTTTCTGGGATATTCTGTATCTCTAAATACAAATATGAAAAGGAGTTTATTAGGTACGGTGGAAGTATATTGAGAAAAATCAATTTATGATTGGCTTGGCTAATTTATCTGCCACACAATATAAGGAAACTTTCACTATCTTTTACATTCCTGGCACATTCAAATTCTTTCATTCCTTTCTGTTCCTTTCTTATTTTTACCAAAGACTGATTTCCAGTTGTTATTAGGCATAACAGACTTATTAAAGGGAAGGGAGGAGACTAACATTTAATAAGCGCCAATTATGTACAAGGTACTTTGCACACATTATTTCTTCCCAATAACTACTCATGGTATTCTTTATTCATATTTTTATTGCATATATTATTTCTTCCCAATAATGACTCATGGCATTTTTTATTCATACTTTTAAGCTTATAAGAAAACAGGGATTTAGAGAGATAAAGTAACTTGTCCAGGGTCGAAAAGTTCAAAAGCTAGTTTGTGGTAGAGCTGGTCCCCAAACTGAGGCCTGCATAGCACCAAAATCACTGCAACATATTTTCCTGATGTCAACATAAAAATTACAAAATGAAACAAAAAGAACAATTGGAACTTATGTTTTTAATCTGCTAACTTTAGGAAGGCATGTGTATATACTTCTCTTTGAATTGTTGTTGCTGTTAGAGTCTTATATATTTACCAGTCATTATACAGAACATATGTTGAACTACCCAACATGTATTATGTGTATACAGTCTCCCCAGCACACTATTTATTCATTTAGAGTACTCCAGATAACCTACTTACATAATTTTCCCCAAAAGGATTCCATGTTTTCTTTTGGCTTTACAAAGACACTCAGGATTCTAAGTTATTTGCATTACAACATTTACCAGTATTAGCCCCCTCAATATTGAAGAGAAAATCAAAATAAAATGCTTTCCTTCATAACCTTTAGTTCTAAGCAGAGCCCATTAGAGACTTTAAAATATTCACTTTTGAAGCTGATTCTTGCATTGGTAAACACTTTGCATGACATTAAATACGCTTTGCCTGTTCTAGGAGACAGAGTGGATTAAATTACTTGGCTGAAGTGACAGGAATAAAGAACAGAATACATCCACTCCTCCAGTCTCATTAAGTTGCCTCTTTCTCCTGAAATTGGATTGGGATTCCAGGACACCTCTCAACCTACAGGAAACACTGGATCTAAAGCTGAAACAGGTACCAGTGCCTTTTGAAAAATTAACCGCTCTATTGAAATGTAATTTACATACCATAACCCAGTACAGTTTCCACCCACAACAAAATCCCTGACTCTGGAACTTGAAAGGAAAGGAATAATAAACATAGATTTCATTATTTCACTGGTTTGCACTCAATCACTCTTGCTTATAATTTTGCTCTCTCCCTGTTTCCCAAATCCCCTCCCCACCCCCGGCCCACTGCCATTCTACCAGGTGCTCCTCATATAATGTAGTAACATGTCCACTTTGCTATTTCCACTTACAGGTTTTCAAGAATTCCTTACTGATTATGTTTTATTTCAAGGCAGGGACAACTATAAAACAGCATCAGTATACTGGAACACACAGCTATCCCTGTGTTAGGACAGAATTAGAAGTACACCTGGTGCTTTCTCTTCAGAGGAAAGTGAAGTGGTGAGAGAATGAAATTTCAGGTATCAGCTTGCACATCACCATTAACAGTGAATATCAAGTGTTTCCTCATAGAGGTTGCATGGTGGTATTGATGGAGATGAACTCCAGTGCAGTAAGTAGGCAAAAGGTGAGATTACCATCATACACAGGATGCCACGATGTCACAGTGGAACCATCAGTGTTATTTCTGAGTAATATCTTCAGTGGTGGTGATGTCTTTCTTAAATTTAGATAGTCCTTCTATTACCTCTCTAACTCACCCCAGGCTGGTTGACATATAAACGTTGCTTAGGATCCAAAAGATCCTGTGAAAAATATGAACAGTTTAACTGTGGTCTCCTCTCATTAACTGTGAGCCTCTGTGATTCTCAGGTTAGGGTGGAAGATCCTCTAGGATAGAATGCTCTTCTGGAGATGAATTGATTTGTGTTTTTGACTCCATATGAGAAGGGACATGCCAGATAACCAACTTTGGAACTCACATTTAGGAAGAAGGGAGAAGAGGAAGTCCTGGTGGCACTGAAGTGAGCTCCACTTCCAGAAGTAGGTGCAGGCTACTTCCAGAGGTAGGTGCAGGCTACTTCCAGAGGTAGGTGCAGGCTACTTCCAGAGGTAGGTGCAGGACACACGGTCTTGCAGTGATGGTAAGATGGAGGCCTGTGTGCCCAGCAATGACAGAGCACAGGCAACATAGAAGCTGCCTCTTGAAAAAAGTTGTTTTTCACCCCTAAAAAGGAGGTCTCATCAGGCAACTTATGTTTTAGGTTAGAAAATTGAAAGTTATATAAACCCTGAGTATAGATTCCTGAAAGGAAGAGAGGTCATTGGGGAAGCTAAGGAAGAAAAGCTGTAGGGAACTTCTGGCTAAGATTGAAATGGATGCAGCTGCATCTCTGAAAGGACTGCAGAGGCCTGAATGGGAATCTGGATAGTGAGGCAGTATTTCAGAGTGACCAAGAATCTTCCATGGGACCACAAAGGGCAGATTCACAGTAGCAACATGGCAGGAGTGTGAAAAACGTCTTAGATGTTTAAATTGTACTGACTTTTTTTGACTTACATAAGACCCAGGATTTGGGGGGATGATTTATAAAGACAAAATATATAGTTTTCTGTTGCTGTGATAACCAGTTACCACAAACTTAGTGGCTTAAAACAATACAAATTTGTTATCTTACAAATCTGTAGGTTTGAAGATTGAAATGGGTCTCTTAGGGCTAAAATAGAGGCATTGTTAGGGCCACATCCCTCTGCAGACTCTAGAGGAGAATCTGTTTCTTTGCCTTTCCAGCAATTGAGGACTGTCCACATATCTTGCTGGTGACCCCTTCCTTCAGCAGTGAGGTACGTCCTTCCTACATGGCTGCCCCTCTGGTTCTTTTTCTTCTGCCTCTCTTCCACTCATAAGAACACTGGTGATTATGTTGAGCTCACTTGGATATTTCTCCCATTTTTACGTCAGCTGGTAACCAAACTTAAAGTCATTTGCAACCTTAATTCTCCTTTGCCATGAGACCTAACATTCACAGGTTCCAGGGATTAGGAAACACATCTACTGGGAGGGCCCCTATTCTGCCTACCACACACAGCAAGCCAAACAGGGAGGTATGGAATTTCCTGATACTACTGTAGGTAGATAAGAGTGCAAGCAGGCTAAGGAATGGATTCAGCCCTGGTTCCAAACACTGGCTGCATATATACTCATGTGAAAGCCTTAAAAACACAAATGGCCAGGTTACACCGTCAGACATTCTAATCTAATGGGTTTGGTATGGGTTCCAGACATTGTAATGTTGGGATACATAGAACCGGATGACCTCGATGATTTTTATGTGCAGGCAGGATTGAGAATCAGTGATTTAGGATGAGGAAGTCAATATCTTAACCCTAGAAAGTGAGGACAGAAATCCAGCACTCATGTTCTAGAATTCTGTTCTTTTCTAATTTCCATCAGGTATTTTAGTTACATATCCTGTTCTGCTTCTTTAATTTATCTCTAGCTATCAAATTTAATATATGAGCTTTCAGTATTCCTAGAAGTAAAGAAATATATACTTGGAAAAATATTTTTAATTGCACTTTATACATTTTAATTTACTCCTGATTTGTCTAAACTTGTTTTCTAAAAATTATTTTAACCAAAAAACTATATCATTGAGTTCATCATTAAGAGTTTATTTCATGATCTAGATCTAGCTCATTTGTAATGAAGAGTTAAATTATGTTTCATTCACCTTAATGAAATCTATTTTCTTGCAGCTTCACTCTACAGTGTTTACTTCATAAACACTTCATGGTATCTGAATCGGTTTATGCATTTTCTATTTTGTTACTTTTCTTATTTTATTTCGTTCTTGCATATAAAATTGTTGGCAGTTGCCATGGCAATTCTAATTGATTTCTTTCTGCTGTTTTGCAGGCTTTTAAAAAGATTTGCACAATACATCCTTCATATTGTTATTTTTATCTCTGTAAATTTGTAATGGCCTCTAAAAAAAAAGCTGTGTAACAAGAGTATCAGATGTTACTTTGCTCACTGTTGAGGGCTGTGAAGAACAGAAGAAAACTAAGGAAGAAAACAAAACTGGGAAGGGCAATGAAGGAATGGGTTAGCGTTCAAAAGTAAAGTGTGTTCCACACAAAAGAAAGAGTTCAGGTACCTGAGTCAGCGGCAATGCAAGGACAAGAGATGGGCTTTTAGAGAGAATTGAGCTTGTCAATGTGACTCAGCTCTGGAAGACCAAAAAATTATGGAGGGAGAGGTAGGAAAGGGAAACTGGGTGAAATGTTATCATTTTCTTTGTTTATCTTCTGGTGTATCTCAAAACCTTCTGTTATTCACACACAAACACACACATGCACACACACAAGCATGCACTCATGGAATGCATCAGCATATCTATTGTCAAAATCAGCTCACAGTCTCATTTCAGTAAAGCAGAGATGTGACTCCTCACAAGATGCTGTGTTGTTGATTAACTGCCTTCTTTTAGGAGTTGAGGTACAATGCCGTTTTCAGTCCTAGAGATAATGAGAAAAAGAAGAAAATCTCTTGGGGATCTGAAATGAATTCGATTTGGTTTACTTTCACTGTAAAACTCCAGAAAATTTACATTGCTTTTTACTTATGGCATATATTTTTTTTCCAAAAGTTAATTGCAACAAACTGCAAACAAACACATTAAGGTAAAATAACAAATAACTCTTCTAGAGTAGAATGGGGGTAAATTTTAGACACAGATGTGTGCACTAAGATGTCTGCCCAATGATCAAAATTTAGTTGAGAATTTGCCTTTGAGATTCCCACTGGCCAAAGTGAAGAGAAAAGCATGATCAGAAACAAGACTCAAAGTGCCTGGAAGGAAGCATTTGTCAGGTACACTGGAGAAAACACAATATTCCCAAGAATTGAGATGAAAGAAATTTCTCCAAGGAGGGGATATTTTAATATAATAGATAATGGTCTCAGCAACATCCCTGCAGTATGAAATAGTATGTTTCACACAGCCACTTTTAAACATTTTTTCACCAAATGAAGGGCATAATGTTGGTACACGACTGAGAAACAGCTATTTAATGAGGGTGAAAGATCTGAAGACCAAATATTCTGCTCTTGGGTTACCTCAGTGATTAGAGAGTGATTCTATGTGGACAGGACTATGCAGCTAGCATGCCTATTTTAGAGAACACTTGTGCCTCATCCCATTGCATGGCAAAATCAAGAGATTTGGTGAGGCCGTACCCTATAAACCATTTCAGATTCTCAACTTTACAGCAAAGAAACATCACCTCATCCTCATCCACTCAGATGAAAAAAGATTTCAGTGATAGTAAAAATGATTTATCTGAGGAACCATTATAAAAATTACATTACACAGGCTTATGTGAAATATTCAAAAGCTTTGAAAAATAAATGCCTAGAATAATCCCCTATAAACCTTTTAGACAGATTACTATGACCCTATTCTTCTGGTACAAACATAAATGTGTTTCTGATAAATGTATTTTATTATGTTTTGATTCATATGACCACCCTATTATAAATTCAGGATGGTTAAAAGCAAACTTTAAGATTGCTCTCTTCCTCTGGCAGTCAGGACAAGGTTTATTAAACCAAAAACATATGTTTAAATTTAGTTCCACATGTGCCAACTAGCTATTGACTGAGCACTGACATGTGTTTGAGCTCTAGGGATCTCAAATCTCTCTGCCTCTCTCCTCAGTTCTCCCACACCACGCATCACACACACACACACACACACACACACACACACACACACACACACACAAACCCCACATTGAAAATTCACATATTTAGTAGGTAACAGGAACCTAGTATTCAGAGCAAACACTTTCCTTGATGAAAGAAAACAGTATGGAATACTGTACCCAGCACTTTACCGGCGGGTGGGGCACTAATGAATGATTCTTGGCAAATTCTGAATACCCTTTGAGCTCGTCTTGTTCATTAGCAAATTGTTTTTCTTTGACTGTTTCTCAGTTAAGTACATGACATACTAAAAATAGTGATTTTCTCAATCAGTTGCTTCCTAGGTAAGTAAACATTCCACTGGTGGAATACCGTTAGCAAATTACAGTGGGAATACAGCTTTGAAAACTATCTAGTTTTGTTTCTCTTGGTTACTAAACCCTGGGTCAGGTGGCCTTGATAACATGCTTTGCAGGCCACAATGACGGGGAGCAATTTGACCAAGGGCCCCAGCTAGGACATTCTGAAATTCAACCGCACACCTGTGAGTTGTGCCTGGCCATGTTTCCCAGGGTGATTGCAGTCATGGGCTTCACTGAGCAGGGATGCTGAGGCAGGCTCATTCCTGGGAGACATAGGACTCCCCAACAGCCTTGCTACTCAGATGCTTCTATTCAACCTTTCCTTTTTCTTTCCCCCTACACCCAGTGCCAGACTTGCATACAGTCTCCCATTTTCTCTCACAGAGATGGCCCTTTGCTTGTTTCCTTCTGTCTTAGCATCTATGTCCTGAAGGACCAAGGCTGACATAATACACTCTGTTTAGTTTTAAAGGGAAGTTGTTTGCCTACACTTAAGGAACTGCATCTCCACACACTCAAGGAATGTGGCTCTAACTTAGTCTTCTGCTGAAAATGCGTAACATTACCAAGCAGATGTGGACTCTGGATTGAGATAGACTAAAATTCCTTATAAATGATTTTTCAAAATAAATTCCTAATTCATTCTCTTCTCCAAGAAGCCACAGTGCTTACTCTAATCCTAAAGTCATCAATAGACAATCCATCCTTTCCAATAATGCTGAGATTTTGTTTTCTAGAATCCCACATTCAGATAAATCATGCCTATAAATTGTGTCAATTAGAGTATGTGTCAATTAGAATGTATTTTGTGGCCTAAACCTCAACCTTTCACTTTATTGGCAATACTGGCAATATATAGCTTTATCTTGTTGCCTAGGTAACAGATCCATCCTGAACTAATGTGGATATGTCAGTATAAGTTGAAGACCGCTCAAGGAAATGCAGCCCTTTTGGGTTCTCTGAAGTAAGTAGTTGTCAAACTCTTTTCTCTTTCCTAATTTGGAACCACCTAAAAACAGACAACTGAGTTAGATAGAGGCCAAAAGATCAGAGCTTTTCTGCACTCACTAGTCCTTGCACCTAGGCCATGGGTAACTATTTGCCCATCCAACTCAAAGTAGTGCAAACAGAAGACTGCAGAACTCACAGCTCTAGGTCAGAGCACAACAGAGAATGGTCTGTACATGGAGAGAATGCTGTATGTGGACAATGGGCAAATTCCAGAGAAAAAGGCAAGTACTATCTGAAGCATATGAGCTTAAAAACAAAAGCACAGAAAAGGTTTCATTTGTTCTTGACCTCACAATGGAGATGTTACTATTCCTTTCTTGGGAAGTGAGCGAGAGGCAGAGAGATGCTTCTTAATTTTTTTGAAACCACGGCAATTTTATTTTATGGGCCATGGTGAAAAGTCAGAGAGGGAAATAACTTGTCCTACAAAACCCCAAGCTGTGATCTACCTACAGGGAGGTGAGTGGCATTATCCTTTCGTGTAAAGGACAGAACATCACCAGGCCACCTTAGCAATCGGGAGAGTCAGGATAGTCACTGCACAGAAAACAAAGCGAACTCTTCTTTCCTTCATTTTATTACTATTCACATGTTTCAGAACAATTCATTCAAGATTCACATAAAGTTAGCTATGGGCTTTTCTAAATAGAGCTCTTACATCTTAAAAATAAATCCAAGGCTTTTAAAGCTCTGTAATTATCTTGTCTATTATCTCATCTGCTGCTTCATCTTTCATTCCCTCCCTTGATCTTTTTTATCTATATGGGGGGGTTGCCATTTTTGCATAGCTTTTAAAGCAAATTCTGGATATTTTCAGAGATGGGGGGAGGGGGTAGGATAATAGATATGTCACAACTCATGCTACTTACTCATTTTTCTGGAAATTAACTCCTCAAGCACCTGAAGAGTTATAGGCATCTGGGCATTAGATGTTGAGTAAGAATTTTAATTGTATTATTTCATCACTGTGATCACACTTAATGATGAAAAGTCTTACAGTTTCCTGAACTATGGCATTTATACCTTTAGTGAAATCACATTTTAAAACTGCATCTTCTTAGGGACTCTATCCTTCATGATTTTTATAACTAACTTAGAGTTTAGTGGCCTCTGCAAAGTAAATGTACTTTTCTGATGGGGGGAAAATATATAGAAAAAATGTGGTGTGTCTCTAAAAGGAAATAACTTTTGACTAAAATACTACTTAAGTAGATGTAAATTTATGCAGTTTTCTGATTTAAAAAGTATTATATACTCATGCAAAATATAGAAATTACAAAAAAAAAGGAGAGGAAAATATAAAGTAAATAAGAACCATTTTTAAAATTATCATTTGATGCAATCATTAATATTTTGGTATCTTTCTAGTATTTTATACCCCCCCACACTTATAACATTTATAAATGTTGAATCATAGTAAATAAAGCTTTATCTTCTTCTTTTCTCACTTAATGTTACATTGTGAGCATTTTTCTATGTCATTATGTAGACATTATGTAGACATTGTGTTTTTAATGACACATATATAAGAATGAATCAAGTGCTTTACCAAACCACTCTTAGATATATAACATTGGTTATACCAAAATTTTTGCCATTAGAAATGATGCTGTTATAAACATTTTTATGCAAATTTTTTACCATAGTGCTTATTATTCTCATAGGAAATAAAATTACTGTGTTAAAAGGAGTACATATTTTAAAAGCAAAGATCGCATGACCAATTATTAACTTTCTTTGGAAGACAGTCACATGAAGACACTTCCTTTCCAGTTTCAGAATAATTGGGAAGCCAAATTCATAGCCAGAAGGCTCCTTAGGGAAATGTAGAAACCAGGCGGATGTGGCAGGCAGTCTTGAAGGATCTTTCATCCTCGTCACAGTGAGGCCTAATTGCTGTGATTTCTTCAGTTAAACTGATGTCTTTATACTAAAACATTTTGTCATCATCAACCTTATTTATATTGCAATCTAGAAAGCTGTTGGCTTGCAATATTTACCGTATTATGAGGCACTTCAAAGCTCTGCATGTGCCCAGATGACTCTGCACAGTCTGTAAAGGCCTTCATTTGTCCCAGGTTCAATGCCAGCAAAAGGCTCACTGCTTGGCCTTGGGTTTTCAGGAAGAGAACACAGCACACTCCTATAAACCACCAATAGAGGTAGTCGAGAGCAAGGCACGAGGGAGAATTAAGTGTTCATTTGGGAGAACTGAGCATCTAGCCTTGAAGGAATCAGGTTCCCATGATAAAAGATGAAGATGAGAAGGAGATATTGATTGCTTAGATGTAGTTAATGCAATTGTGATAGCTATTTCTACTGGTTTAAGATAGCTATTTTAATTTTTCTACATGTGACATACATAAATTATTTAATATATACTCTTGACTATTCTTCTGACAGTTTCATATGTTTTCATCTCTCTTGGGAGTTGGGGGAGTAGACATGTATTTCTCACTCTATTTCCCACTCCAACCCTCACCTAAAGGTAGGTTTAGAAGGTTTAGAATCAGATGTGAAACTTCTTTCAGATGTATGTGGAGATTGAACAAGAAACTAGCAGGGAAGAGAGTCTAGGGCTGTTAAGCTATGAGGCCTTCAGTGTTGTCTTTATAGTCACATGGATATGTTGCCTGTCTAAGACAGACACAAGAAAGTCAGGCACCCTGATGTGCAGCTCTTTGGAGGCTAAATTAGATTAATCGGCTCCTTCAATCATTGCCTTCTGGGGGTTTACAGGCTGTGGGAATATCATTGAACTAGACATATCTAAAAAACGCAGACAATGAAACAAAACCGTCCACAAATTCGGAAGGGAGCAAATACTTGATGAAGTGAGGACTGTTCAAAATTCACTCAGTTGAGAACTGGGTGACTCATTCCTTTGGAAAATATTTGTTGAGCATTCTACTATACGGTCATAGTAAACTAGACATTCTAGATATAGGGATGAAAAACACAGATAGAATCCTTTGTTCTATTTATATAAGCATATAAAAATGCAGTACAATTTGGAGTAAAAACAAGTGCTAGAAGGAAAAATGAAGCCTTGTAAAGGAGTTGAGAGTGATGGGGGTGCTACAGTAGCTGGAGAGTCAGAAATGAAGGAAATGAGAGACCAAACCCATTAGGGGCCCAGAGAAGAGTTTTCCAGGTGGAGGGGACCTCAGGGTTAAAGGTTCCGAGACAGGAAGAAGCTTGGTGTGTTTGAGTTGAAGCACAAAGGCCATTGTGCATGGACAGAGCAGATAGAGCAAGGAGAGAATGATTAGAAATGAGATTGAAGATGTGGAGGAAACCGAGGTCTTTTAAGTAATGGGAGAAGTCTAGATTTTATTCTCATCACTATATGGGATGTCTCTGGAGGGTTTGACCTGAAGAGTAACATAATCTGATATACAACTGGAAAGTATTACTCTGGCTACTCTGTGGAAGAGCAGGAAGAGATGCAGAAAGACCACTGGTAGTCCTAGTAAGAATGGAGGATGACCGGGTCTGTGGGGATGCTATGAGAAATGGTGAGTAGTCAGGTGGATGACTGGTTTTGAGGCAATCAATTAAAGTAGCTTAAGATTGGATAGGGGTTGTGAAGAAACATGAAAACTAACAGGGTGATGCATAGTATTTGACTCTGGCAACAGAGAATGGGGGCACTAGGGAAGAAAAGGTAAAGAATGGAGGGAAAATAAAAGTTCTGTTTCAGATTTGTTCAAGTTTAGAATCCTGTTAGACATACAAGTGGAACTTTTCAACAGGCAGAAAAGGTAAGTTTGGGGTTTAGAGAAGTGGTCATAGACAAAAGCACAAATTCATGAGCTATTAGAATATACATGGTGCCCAGAGTCATAGGACTAGGTGTGATAACTTACAGAGAGAATGCGGGTAGACAAGAGGGGAGGAGAGAAGAGAGCTGAGTTGAAATCCTGCCAGTATGCCAACATTTAAAGGTCCACAAAAAGAGGTTAAGAAAAAATATGGAGAAGTGACAGTCAGATTTGCAAGATGCAGGTCATTGGTTGGACGATTTATTAGCCACGTAATTTACTCAAACCCACAGATTTTTAAGAATGAGAGAAGAGTTATTAATAATTTTGCCAAGACAATAGGCATAAGCTGGGACTGTTGTGGGCAAACAAGAACATATGGTCACCCTAAGTTTTGACAACCTTGTTTAAGACTGGTTCCAGCAGGGCTGTCATGATGGCAATCTGATTTGAATGCGCTGAGAAGAGAATAAAAGGTGAAGAAGACAGGAAGTGCAGATGACCTTTTGGAAGGAATTTTGCAGTAAAGAAGGTAGCAGAAAAATAGGACATGGCTAGAGAAGATATGAAATAAATAAAAGTTTGTTTTTAAATGGGACATATGACCTCTATGTATGCGAATCTGAAGGATCCAGGAGAGATAAAAAATTTGATAGTGCAGGTGAAAAGGAATAGATACAGGAGGAGAGTTGGGGAATTCTGCACGCAAGTGGAATGGGGGACATTAGATGGGAGTAGATTCAGCCTGTCCATTGTAACGAGAAGATGCAGACTGTGTGGATACAGGTATATATCGTCGCTAAATTTGGCAGTGGGAAAAAGAGTTGACAACTTAGCCAAAGCAAGAGTGATTCCACTTTTTGTGAAATCCCCCTTTCCTTCCCATAAGAAGTCACAGTCTACCATCTGGGGGCAATTTTCTTCACAGGCGTTAAGAAGAGATATGTGAGCTATTTCATCTCTCAGGAAAATGCCCCAATATGGAGCCTTTAATAGTTTACCAGCAAATGTGGAAATTCTCCCAGGTCCAATTTAGATCTGGAAGAGAAGATGAATATTACTAGTCAGTCACTAACTGCCTGTAACAGATGTTTTTGTTGAATGTTAACATGAACAGTTCTATTTGGCCTTTGCAGAACTGGAATTAAGAAATAAAAGAAATAGCTAAGGGTACATTGAGACCCAGGTG